AAAATGAATAAGATTAAGAAATTTTACTTCTATAATTTAAAAGAAAATAATATTTTTAACAATTCTACAAACATTCATACATATCTGATAACACACTTGGAAGAAAATTGTATGAATTTGTTCTGCAAATGGTCAAAATCCGAAAATTCACCTGAAATTACCTATTGTGTTAAATTGGTATCTTTGACCGATCATAGCACAAAAACGAACACACGGACATATATTTCTTTTTGCATTTTCTACTATGCCATTATCTCCTTTTTCCAAAGATCAATATAAGAAAAAAAGTTTAATCCGGGAAATTTTTGACTTCTCAGAGGTGTACATCCTTAAATGCATTCATTACTACTGATAGAGCCTGGAACAACCATGTGTGCTGTTTGTTTCTATTTCAGTATTTCAGCTTTTGTCCGCACTATCTTTGGTACTTGTCATAGGGTTGATTTATTTATTGTCGGGATGGCCTAGTCTTATCAAGCTATGACACATCAAGTCAAATTTCAAATTGATATATTTTCTAACTATTGTGAAAATTATGACTGTGTCCTTATCATACGATCAAAAATGTCATGCATCAATTTTTTTCTTCCTTGCTTGGAATGTGTTCATCAATGTCTGTATTAAAATGATTTTTGTTCAACTGTTCTTAATTACCATTTTGTATCAATATGTCTCATTGAAAGTTCCCATTTTATGTATGCGTACTGTTTTCATGTCTTTTGACATTGGTAGTATTTCGTTCTGCAAAATCATTTTATGAAATATACTATATTCAACAAGGGTTTAAAACATTCAAATTTCGGTCTCTTAAACCCCTTTAACTGTTTGAGATATTTGTTACCTGTTTGATTGTATTACACAGTCCTGTATACTAATTGAGTTTTTCCTTCTTCTTTGTCGTCTGTGTAGGTTTTATACCAAACTAACACTGGTAAGCTGTAAACCATTGCAATACTTCCAATCGTCATTGAATCCACGCTTTCCCTATTGGAACTCTTTCTACGCTGTCCCTCGTGACAACCGATACACTGGACATGTAATGGTTTAATAATAAAAGAAAAAGCGATGCTGTAGGCTACATGATGATAAGTATAGGAAAATGAGTAATTGATTCAACAATTGAAGAACGTGCACGTACAGCTGCTTCTTAAGTCATGATTTAAGGATTAAGTCATATTCTGTGGATGTTTATATCCCATGACCCACAAGAAAAGAGGATCCAATCCTTTTATTTGCATTAAGTGCGATTTTGAAGCCAGAATCCAAAGTTGAGAAATATATTATTTTTTAGAGGTAGAATGCGCTTTTACATGCGATATGTTAATATAATATAAAAAGTACAGTACACACTTTATTATTATACATAAGCAAATATATCTTATAACGTTTGTCGATCAAATTTTATTCTGAAGAACAATATCACTGCATATATTTCGAGTACAGATAATTGTAACTGAATCCCGCCTTACTGTTTTCCAAAATTACTTGTCTATGAAATATACTTACTGAGGATACATTTAACTATTTCCTGCATGCAGCTTGAAAAGCTAATAAACTGTCCAGCTAATTAATAAATACGTGTATATTTGTTGTGTAAATACGATTTATATAGAACATTTGCTAAATATATAATGTGTTTGTTGATGTTGTTTATTGTTTGATTACCAAATTGACCGATTAACCGGTTACCCGATCTGAATATATTTCGAGTAACTGGTTACCAGAACTTGACTGGTATGACAACCCTAATATATTCATTTCGAGTTTATAATTCAAAAAGGATATGATTTATGCAAATAAAGATTTCCTACCTAAATAACTTAAATGCATTCATTACTAATAATAGAGCATGGAACTACCATGTGTGCTGTCATACTACGGTAATGAATTCGGCACCCGCACATAAACTTATAAATATCCGGGTATATACGGTACTCGTTGTCTGACTGCAGGTAAACTGCCAAACAATACCATACCTTATATGTTCACCCGATACGAGGAAGTTATTTGAGGAATTTTTATGTTAACGTTTCTTTTATAAATCAGCTTAAACTATAAACATTGTTTTTTGTATCGCCTTGCCTAGTCTTATCAAAAAATAAGAATTACAAATACGCGCGGGCGCACATAAAATTCTAATTTAACACCAGATACGTGTCTTATTTACTGGTACAGTATTCACCAGAAAATGATCTGACCTACATACTTTCGACAGGCTATCAGATATATGTCAGACAAACAGGTCAGCATTCCCCATGTACATCATTCCATTTACGTTATAGAATTTGGTTGTCCGGAATCTTGTAATATCAAATATGAAGTTACATCGTTCGACCAATCATTGTCGACTACCCTATCGTTCAACAATCTATATCATGCGCAGTCATCTGTGAAAGCGACTAGGGCAAAGTGCAAATCTCTGTTAGCTTTAATCCTTTGTTTCCTATTTCAGTTTTGATTGAGGTTCTTGTAATATAAAACCGTTTGCGACGGCATTTGTTTTATAACTTAACCGTATATCTTTCGTTAGTTAGAAGACGACACGATTGATGATGGGATAGGAGTTTTCGCGACGCACTACAAGTCAATGATATAACAAAGTGTGGAGTTACGTATTGTCTTATTTCAGCAAACACCACACAACTGCTGTTAGAAAACTGTGTTCAGCCGTGAAGAAATATGGTTTGGCGAAACACACAATTAATTACATCCAACTTGTATTGTTATTTTAAAACCTTTTGCTTACGGTATCGAAATTGTACTGTGTGTACTATGTAATATATCTTTGTACGATTCGTATCCATGTTAATATCTTTACATTGCGATTCGGGTACTCATAGACGATTTGTCATTGTAACCACGTCGAGAGTGTCGGACTGTTGACCAATGCAACATCCAAATTTTATGTTTTAAGAAGGTGAAGAAACGAAGTTGTTTGAGCTGCGACTATTGCTTGGCAAGGCGATTTGGTGGCGTGGGTCGTGAGTTAGAGGCCCGGACAGGCAGGAGTCATCAGATTGTCTTCCTTCGTCACTTGTATTACTTAATAATTTAGTCTATTACTAAAAGCACAATGTTTCATATATAATAGTGTATGTTGTTCATAAGGTTTCCGATATGAACTACATGTCGTTATTGTACTATGTGTAGTATATGTATATTGTGTGTGTGTCAGTGTCGCTTCTAAGATGCTGTCTTACCTTTTGTTCTCCTTCGTTCCTCATCCGTACATAAATAATTTCATTTCTAAATGTTTTAACTAAAACAAAACCACAAACTAATATGTTTTATGCACAGTAATTAGCTTTCCGTGATTGTTACATTGGATCTTATTTGAAATTGCTCGGCTTGTTCAATGAGAAATCTAGCCTTACTATTCAATATTCTATGATCGAATTGAAATATTGAGTTACTAAACATTATCCAGGACCACTTAAGAACTCGCCTTAAATTCCCTCACCCTGAAAGTCCCCTGACGCATTCCAAAGTAGGTCCTGGTAAGAAACTGGTCGTGTACAAGTAACATTTATATTTTACTACAGAGATATCATTATTAGCTACATAATACTTATAACAGTAAAATATACATCTACCAATTACTGAAACATATCTTACTGCTTTTATTATTACATATGTAAAAATAACCTAAAATCGTCCGTCTAGGTGTGTAAAAATCTAGTCGATGACGTATACAGCTAATAGCACTATACAGGTTGAAACCTACAAAACTCTCGCTATGCATTTGGAAACACATGCTTAGTAAATACGTCTACTCAACCTTTTCAACTCCACTTAGTTTGATATGCAGAAACGAATTTTATTTATTGACAGGGTATGGCGTCTGACCAGCAATCAGTAGGGCTCAACGGAGAGAAACAGGAGGATACGGAACCGTGAGTATTTGGCTCAACATATTTTAGTGAATGATATTAATGGGAACTATAACTCCATTACGCAAACGTTACCCGTCGTTTCTCTCTGAGTATGATAAGTAAAAGCGTAGATATATAGTTTGCCTTGTGCTAAGGTTGTATAAGCTGTCAGCTATGGGAAGTAATGCTACGTAAATGGCACGAAGCAGTAACAACACATATCGAACAATGTGTTGTGTCAACTCCAGGTATCTTTTTAAAATATGGACTAATTTTATACCAGTTTCTGATATAGTATAATCTTTTAAATAATAGAATGAAAACATAAAGAAATGAGTATATTTCAAGGTCGTATGAACTATAAATAGATATACCTTGACGATATAGGGAACGTTTAACGAAAGAAACTATTATGTAAATGTCCATGTTCCTGTCTTGATAAAGGGGCAAATTTGACAATTCCTTCGTGTGCACTGTCGTTATTACTTCTTTGCCCATATATATATACTTCACATGGACATTTAATCCGTTTTTATTAAATATAGAAATGGCAATTTCTGTAAGATATCTTTAAGGGAAAAAATCAATCTTGACAAGTAACGCAAATCATAATTAACACACATGTTTTTTTTTTCGAAGTCAATTCGTGATTGAGAAGTTGTTATTTGAACTTTTGAAGTAATTGTAGAGAAACAATCATCTGAACATTTAAGTGGGGATGAATCTTTTCACAAATTTACACGATAACTGATCTCACTCGAAAATGACGTGATTTACAGTTCCTAGGCTTAGAAGTTATCAGTCAAAGTAGGGACAATACAATTTGATTAATATTAACTTGATTTTTGTTTCCATTTTGCAAGGGTCGAGTATGTATTCACCGTTCATCTTGGACACAAAAGGAACGCTGATGCTGATAAAAACGTATGGGTATCCCTCAACTCTCATTTTGGCGAGACATCTGGGAACGTTCTGCTGGAGAATTTTTTCAGGAAGGACTTTGATGGAGATCTACGTTATCACGCCAGAGCGACAGGAAAGTATCTGTATGACGTAGACTACATAAAACTGTGGCTAGACACGTCACTACCGTCAAATGACGCATGGCATGTACACAGAATAGATGCTCTCTGTAAGGCGACGGGAATGCGATTGAAATTCCCATTTAATATGTGGATAAAACCCAATCAAAGCTACACCATCTGTCATCTTGCCACCTCGATTCCAACCCACGATAAATTTCCGGGCAAGCGAGAACAGGACTTGTGTGAGGCACGAAAAACGTACATGCTGGTAGATGGTATGGATGGTATGCCGCCTCAAGTACGTAGACATGCTTTTCTATATGCATTTAAATAAAATAAATTTTGAAAACTTTAACTTATAATTAGAAATTAAATATAGAAATATATATTTGCAAAGAAGTAATAACGCCCCCTAAAGTGAAAATAAGCGGGACAATCCGGAGATGTTATTTCTCCTCTTATTATTGATATTATTTTACTGTTTATTTGCCAACTTCTAATTATTTGAAGGATCATTGGCTCGCTGTCTGTGGCCTATGCTTGACCCCTTGAGGCGACTCATGTGGGAGCCCCTGCCGACGTTGCTATTATAATTATCACCCTCGTTTCAAATTCCCTATTAAACCGTTATCACTCTGCAATTCATCTTTATTTAATAAGAAGTTGATTATCTTCTCGTTTCATTTGATTGATACATTTTTGGGCCGAGCTTTTTATGGACGAAATTGTCTGTGATACTTTGGGGACTAGTTTCTGTAGACGAAATGGTCCTTTTTTTTAAAAGATTATTTGGTAGACGACATTTTCGGCACAAATGTCTAGTGCAGTTCTCGGGCTTTTGTATTAACGGAAGGTGTGGCGCTTCTGGGTACTGAGGGGCCGGCTCAATAGAGAAATTCGAGATTTAAACCTTTAAAATCCTTTTTTTCTGTACCGTTGGAGGGATTTTATCCAAATTTAGCCCAGACCATCATTTTGGCAAGGGGGACTCAGTTTATTTATTTGGAGGGATTTTAACCAAATTTTGGGTAGAACATCCTTGGGCAGATGGTTGCTATTAGAGGGCAGAGGGGCGGGGCCAAAAGGGGAAATTGGGGTTAATCCACCCCAATTCATAGAGGCAGAAAGAAGGGACCTAATGAGAGACGGGTATTGCTGAGAGACAGAGCCAATATTTGGAAAAAGTTGCGGTATTATACGTGATAAGAATAATTTTTCATGGTTGCTTTATTATCAAAAAAGGGGTGGGGCGGATTGCGATGAAAATTTGACAGATTTCTTTGTTTGCACTGTCGGTAATACTTCTTTGCACACACACACACACACACACACCCACACACACACACACACACACACACCCACACACACACACACACACACACACCACACAACACACACACACACACACACACACAGCACACCCCACACACACACACACACACACACACCCACACACACACACACACACACACACCACACAACACACACACACACACACACACACAGCACACCCCACACACACACACACACACACACACACACACACACACACACATGTTATAGAAATGAAAAAAAACCCGGTTTCTTAGTACTTTCCTCGAACTTTCATCGGACGAACCTTTGATGAGGTGAAAATATGAGGGGAGTTCTTAAGTTAGTCTTTTGTCATTTCTTTTATATTTGACATCACAAGGACTTTGGATTAATTTATAGGGCAAGAAAGTAATGTGTAGACAATATGAGGAAGTCAAATTTTCGGAGCAACCTCATATTGTCTACACTGTAGGAACTATTTCCTTCACCCATAAACCAATTGTAAGTAAGTCCTATCCTACCTACTCACGTTGGCAAGGGTCCAGTGTAAATTTACTGTTGACATACTGTTAAGTATATGATATACTTTATTACCTGAATGTGAATGTTCCAGGTTTTCAAAAAAATAATCGAAACCTGGTGTAATATGCAAACATGATTTGGATGTGTTACAGATTAAGAAGCTACCTTCGGATGAGGAATACGACTCTCAACAAAAGGTAACTATTGTGTTAACATTTTCTTTAACTTAATCAGAACTTTTCCCCCAGGCAGTATTTTTACATAAGTGATATCTATAAAAATGATATAAACATGCAATTGACCAGATGTTTAAAAACTATATATGCATGAAACAAGGGCAGAGATATAACAAAAGGAATATTTAGCTCAAGACCACTGGAATAGTACGTAGGGACTCGGACCAGGTGTTCCGGAAGGGTCTGTGGCCTTGGTATCATTAACAACATCTGCAATGTCAAGTCCTCAAAACGAGAACCAGGCAAGTGAGAACGAAACAAGTAACAGTAATGAGAAAACTTCATAACATCAACTTACATATCAATCAAGGAAATATAATGTTTCCTAACGGGACCATGGTTTTCAAACTTCCGTCTCTTGAAACTTGTGTAATAAGTGTGTCCGCCAATAAATAAAACTTTTGTTGATGATATCATATACTCTTTCCTCTTCTTTATCGTAATTGATCATTTTCTTTAGAAATTCAAATTTTTAACAAAATGTGCATAATCAGATTTCCTATTGTTGTTATGAAATTAACCTTATATTAAAGCATTGGGAAACTGTGTCTCATTAGGGACACGTACCGTGATACAAGTGGTTTAAAATTGCTCGCCAGTTCTGTTGTTACGAATTTAATGAACAGAATCTAATCAAGTAGCCTTAAAGTTTTATATTCATGAAATATTTAATACAAAACTTGGCTTTATGTAGCAAAAATATTTGAATTATTAGTTACAGTTTCAGCATTTTTTTATAGGTATGGGCTTCAGAGCGAGTTTAAAAAGCACTTTGTTTTTATACAGGCTACGCTCGCTTATGAAGGATTGGATCTAGCCAAAAATGCCTTTTGGGACAAAGTTCTCTCAGCAAAGTGGGAAAAGCTATCTGATCTCAAGGACGTATACTGCAAAATATTTCCTAAACCATCTGATGTAAGTTTAGAAATATCTAACATTTTATATCCCCGTAAAAAATCATTAGGAGGTCAAAGACAAAGTCAAAATGACAGCTATTTTTTCAAATCTGCTTTCCCTTAACTTTTTTTTATGACTTATAAGGTTGAAACACGGTTGCACTTCTAGTTGTCATTGATATATTCGAAATATATATCCTTGCTTAAATTTCAATTTAACAATTAAAGGAAATCCCCTTTTTCCCTGATAATTTTACCAATGTACCTATGTCTGTCCAGTTGGAACTAGGTAACAGAAATAATTTATTACATAAAATGCCCCAGACACTTATTTTATACAAGTTACAGTGACACATTTCAATAAAACATATACAAACACAGAATCATGATTAGCAATCTTGCACATTGGCAGAAAATTCCTAGAAAGCAGCAACCTCTCCTCAAGCTGTCGTCTGTTTAGGAAACCTGGCGTCATTTGGAAATAAGTCTGCAGTTATTTACGCGTTCCTAAGGATACAATTTATTGTTCAATATCAACGTTAAAAAATCTTTTGAATTCTGAGGTACTGATTTTGAAACCATTTACGCTATTTTAGGTAAACCCGAATATTTGGCAAGAAGATTCTTTCTTCGGTAGTCAACGATTGGTGGGTGCCAATCCGTCAGTGATCCAACAATGTACAAAAGTACCAAGGTAATATACAATATTTATTCTTCATTGAGTTCTTTGCGTGGTTTCATTATAATGTTAATTAATATGTCCTAGCAAAATCGAAGGCTCAGTGTGCACCGTCTTGTAGAGACGAGAATGTTATTTTGATCCTTTGATGTACATCAAAAGAATTTAGAGTGGTCGCGTAACGGTAAAACTTATTGACTTTGAAGTCGGTTGCCCTCCTCTGTTATCTTCAAAGGACAAGTATCAGTCTAGTGAATGGTCAGGTTTTTTTTACTTGACAAAAATCAAATTGCCTTCAATTTTGCTATGAAATATTCCCGGGGTGCAGAGAGCGAAAGTAATCGTACCCCTGGATATCGAGGGCGAGAGGCCACAGATCTAATTTGTGAACCGCTTTGAGACGACCTACGAAATATTTAGTGATAATGCTACCTTCACTTGCACGGATTTTTCTTCCAAATTCTTACGTATGACACAAATTCGTAAAAGTACTATTTGGCCACTTTTATTAGCGACTTAAGAGTGAGTGCTTACGATTAATAACTAGCCATTTACTATTTATTACGAGTTATTACGATGTATTTACGGCAAAAATCTATTTGTTCCGAGTTACCACGGATACATACGAGCAAGTTACGACATTTTACGGGCTTTTTATGGGTTGTTACGAGTATATTACGGAATGTAACGATTCATCTAAGCTTTTACATGTAAATTTCGACCTGTTAACGTGTTGTTACGAATAGTTGCGAGTTATTTACGAGTCCTTATGTTTTTTTTGCAAAAAAATCTCTATATATCATCATTCGACAACTGACATCCGGCGAGACAACATGGCATATGAGAGAAAAAGATTGCAGTTATATCAACGATTTCTACAATTGCTACTTCCACTAGCCAGGATGAAAGAGGAAGATGCCGAGCAGCAAATAGATATTCATCGGCCGGTTTTATACCTTACCTAAATCGTAAAGTATACGTATGTATTCGTAACTATACGTAAAGTGCTCGTAATAACTCTTAACAATCCGTAACACGACGTGAATGAAATCGTAAACATCACTAAAGCACTCGTAATAATCCGTAAACAAATCGTAAACCAAATTGTTTACGAGATATTTACGGATTCTTGCCAGACGTTTTCGGAGGTTTGCGTGTTGTTGCGACCAGTTTACGATACTTACGGATTGTTACAAGTCATTTAAGAGTTATGTACGGAAAAAGTAATCCGTGGGCAATCGCAAGAAATTTTTGACATGTCAAAAAATTTGCCTCTACTTTCACGAATCCTCACGAGTGTCTGCGAGTTGTGACGAGTTATTAACGAATACCAACGAGTTATGTACGGATGCTTGCGATTGACTACGAGTTGGCGATCCGTAAGGACTCGTAAAATAATCCCTGTGTGTGAAGGGGATATAAAGCAGTATATAAGAACCTCGGATTATTTTTATTTGTTACACTGCCTTTAATCGTCTTACAGCCAACTTGGGGTAAAGGCCGATATGCTCAAACCTTTTCTCGAAGGAATGGATCTCAAAGCAGCCATCAAGGCCAAACGGATATTCGTTGTTGATTATAACATTCTTGAGGGCGTTCCGTGTGCACCTCCATATAAAGGAAAAGAATGGAAGGTACCTATACAATTACATTCTAGATTTAGTTGTGCTTATTCCAAACTTTATATATATATATTCTATAAATATCTCATGAAATTCATTACAGTAAGATATCAAAATCATGAGGACACTAACATGACTGAGAAGGAGTTAGAGTTACATGTGCTAACGCGATAAGACAATTAGATGCATGTAAATGCCAATAATGTAAGCTAATATCAACGTGCTTACGATAATACTATTTCACATGATCAGATTATACTAAACTCAAAATAACAAGATGCTTATCAAATCTACCTCACAATCATATTATACTTAACTCAAAATAACAAGATGATAATCAAATCTACCTCACAGTCAGATTATACTAAACTCAAAATAACAAGATGCTTATCAAATCTCCCTCACAATCAGATTATACTAAACTCAAAATAACAAGTAGATAATCAATTCTACCTCACAATCAGATTATACTAAACTCAAAATAACAAGATGATAATCAAATCTACCTCACAATCATATTATACTTAACTCAAAATAACAAGATGCTTATCAATTCTACCTCACAATCATATTATACTTAACTCAAAATAACAAGTATTTAATCAAATCTCCCTCACAATCATATTATACTTAACTCAAAATAACAAGTATTTAATCAAATCTCCCTCACAATCATATTATACTTAACTCAAAATAACAAGTATTTAATCAAATCTCCCTCACAATCATATTATACTTAACTCAAAATAACAAGTATTTAATCAAATCTCCCTCACAATCATATTATACTTAACTCAAAATAACAAGTATTTAATCAAATCTCCCTCACAATCATATTATACTTAACTCAAAATAACAAGTATTTAATCAAATCTCCCTCACAATCATATTATACTTAACTCAAAATAACAAGTATTTAATCAAATCTCCCTCACAATCATATTATACTTAACTCAAAATAACAAGATGCTTATCAAATCTACCTCACAATCAGATTATACTTAACTCAAAATAACAAGATGATAATCAAATCTACCTCAAAATTATATTATACTAAAACTCAAAATAACAAGATGCTAACCAAATCTACCTCACAATCAGATTATACTATGACTCAAAATAACAAGATGATAATCAAATCTACCTCACAATCAGATTATACTAAACTCAAATAACAAGATGATAATCAAATCTTCCTCACTATCAGATTATACAATAACTCAAAACATCAAGATGCTAATAAACTCTCTCTCACAATCAGATTAAACTATCACTCGCAATTAAAAGATATGTATACAAGATATCTCTCACAATCAGCTTATACTTAAACCCCCTGCAGAATTGAAGTTTGTTTTGGTGTCCTCTATTTGGGGACACAAAAGCGACCAAAATAAATCTGCTGTGCCCATTGCAATATTTGGGATATTTATCATTCTTTTTACTTTTAACTACTTTTATTTCCAAAAGCGTCTTGTTTGGCAACAGCCCACTTTTGACTTGAATGTTGAGCGTTTGCCTAGGTGAGGAAGGCGAAGGGTTTTGTCTTCAGGTCGGGAGCTACCAAAGACTTTAAAAATGGCAGTTGTTATTCCCTGCTCAACGTTCAACATTAAGGGGAATGGCAACAACTGGTTCAACCGTTGTCAGTATAATGTGACCAGGTTGAATGCTGTGCTTGGTGACTTCGGCATGGCATTTCAGTGAGATAGCACTATAAAGTCGGCATCAGATCCGCGCTATCACAAGGAGACAATCACGCCAACATACACGCAAAAGCACGCATACACTACACACATGTATGCACGTCCTTAAATGACATTAGCTGTCAAACATAATTAAACCAAATCAAACCAATCGGTAAAATAACAATATAACCCCTAATAAAATTAGTATTATTACTCTTACGATACAATCATACTAACATAACTTTATTATTATACGTCTGTTTTCAGCTTTGTGCCCCCATTGGACTATTTTTTGTCAACAAGGCTAAAGAGTTAATGCCTATCGCAATACAGCTGTTCCAGAAACCGAGCAAAACGAACCCAGTAAGATTTATATTGTGTTGTGATCTTGAATAAATATGCTTGAAAGGAAACCTTTCAAAGTACAGAGGTCGCCCTTAAGAGAATCAGTGACATGTAAGGCTCTACATTGGGCCTCTTGATTCTGATTTTTTCAAGTTTTTCATGACAGGTCTATACTTGTGACAAATAGTATTTCTGTATATGTCACTTCATGTAAAGAGTGAAATTTTGACTGTGATAGGGAGTTATATTGTAAATCATTTGAATTATGATATTTCGGCAGCAGACGACCTGGCGCTTGAAGTCAGAAGAATCAAGCACTGCAGTAGCATTAGCAAAATAATACTATCATTATTATTTTGACATGTACAAGTTATTTATTTAGGAAACAGATATATAAATATTATTTTAACAATTAATATTAGTACATATTTCATCTTAGTAAGTCATTATAATGTCTTTTTGTTAAAAAAGTGCTACATGATTTTAACCGCATTTTATAGGTTTTCCTTCCCTCTGACCCAAAATACACATGGATGATGGCCAAGCTGTGGTTCAACCATGCAGATAGCACTTACCAGGAATCTTACGCTCATTTAGGCGAGTAATATATCATTTATGTATCTTTTCATTTTCAGCAGGGAAATCTAGAAAATATTATTGTAAATGTAAGTGTTATATTTCTATACCAAACAGGACGTCAGAACATGCAAGTAGAGAGACTGTTCAGATTCAGTTGAAATAAGAACATTTTCACTCAAAAAGATATTAAACTAAGCAGAAGGACGTTTTTGGTTGAAGTTTGGCTTGCACAGCCTCTCACGCCCCTTTTACCTCAGTTTCCTGTCAAGCACGAGTGGAAAACTAAAAGTGATAAAAAATGAACTACATTCAATTTAAAAGTGAACCTATATGATTTTCTGATTATTACATATGCAGAAACGACATTTTATTGCCAATGACCTGTTAATTATCACAAAATATAAACATAAACAAAAACGTTATATACTATTTTGTTTGCATTTGATAAATATATTGAATTGAAAAATAAATCTTAACGCTGACTAATCATATGCATGCATAAGTTATCTCTGAAATCGCTTATATTGCATAGTTTTAATACTGACCAAGGCAAAGTGTATGACATACTATTGGGTATTAAAGGGCTTGTTACTTTTTCGTTTTGCTAAGGTTCCACCCATTTGCTGATGGAGGGTATCGATGTGGTTACTCATAGGAATCTTGCCAAAACACACCCGATCTTCAAACTCCTGGCTCCCCATTTCCTGTATCTCTTGGCAATCAACACGTGAGTAAACGGAAATAATTTATCACAGCCATTGATATAATCTCGAGAAAAAAAGATCTTCATATTTTCATCGTACAGGAAAAAATCATTGATAAAATTTCGGGTTGGCTTAATACACTTGTTTAAGCCTTAAGTTTATATAACATTTCATAGATGTCATTTGATAAAAGTGTTAAAATCAAATACCAAAATTTTGTTAATAATCTTTTACTGATCTAGTTAATGCAAAATATAATTGTATTGTTATAGTTTCATGATTTAAGTTTAACTGTTTTATATAAAGTTAACGAAAATCTAGTTCTTCTATATTAAAAATGAATACCCATGAAGAATGCGTCTGACATTGTTGTCGTGACAATGTAAACAATTGGTTTTGTATCTAATTCTTAAGCTTGGCGAGAACAATGCTGATCAACCCAGGAGGATTCGTCGACAAGATCATGTCTTGTGGCCAAGTGGGAATGAGAGAAATAATAAGAAAACAGTAATTACCTTTTTATTTGTTAGCTTTATGTCGAGACATTATTGATTGAGAAGATTCAGGCTGCTGTATATGCATGAATGCTTATAGAAATAATAAAACCCCGTATACATTTTACACTAATATAACAATAAAATGTAATTAATACTTTTAATATGCTAGTCATTGGATTGTAATTTTACCTTAACATTATTGTTAATATTGAAGTGATATGGGAAAAAGTGATTACTGTTGAATAAAGGCAAATTCCATTAAAATGAATTTCAACGATATATTTTCATCTATCAATCATTCTGAATTCATATCTGCGAGGAAAAATGCTAATTATTGTTGAACTGATACAGAGTACAAATTTATGATAAGATATAACATAAAAGATAAAAAGGTCTAATTGTGCGCTTTCAGACTCCCAAACTGGCGGATGGATACACAGGGAACATTACCAAATGATCTGAAGAACCGGAAGGTTTGAACGCTAATATTGTGTACGATAGGGCAATGCTACATATCTGACAAGATGTTTCTTCTAAATAGAAAAGTTCTTTTCTCGAAATCTAATTTCTACTATGTGGACCTTTTATCAGGGAGAAGAGAAACGTTTATAAATACGCGAGAATCGCCCTAAAATATAAAAGTAGAATTGGTAGATTTTTATCTTGGTTAAGCTCTAAGTAATTGTTCAAAGTAAAGGTGTCCCTGGGTGTTTATATGACAATAGATAAGCTTTGATGTCATGAACCTATCAAATACAAAATTGCGAACTTAAGATTTCTTTATGATATATTCCAATGTTGCAGTGTATATATATGAATCCCTTCTCCAAATACCTTGATTTTTCTCCTTTGATTTGCATCGGATTTAACCCCCCTTATTGTATCAATATTGTAATTTGAAGTCCTTTTAGGCTAAGCATGAAGGATTCATACATATCTACCAGATTACTCTCCAGGTTACCTCGTTAAGTTGTTTGTATAAAAGTGTTTGTGCTTTACTTATATTTAATTGTATTTCAAATTGTGCAATATGTTTACATTCTCATTAGCCTTCTTTTTTCAAAATGCATGCTTATTTCAACAGTGTTGCAGACATTTTCAATGTAACAGTGTGTTTGTGATAATACTTTTGATAACGTAAGTTGTTTTCTACCCATTGAAGTTTATGTTTGGCTCTACTTTTGTTCACAGTTTATTTATATTAAGATAAACTAACGAAAATCATGACAGATGGGTAAAAATTTATATGAAGAAAAGAAGAAAAGCAGTTATGTTTTTCAGAAACCTTAATTCTAAATACATGTATCATTGTCGGAAAAACCAGGGCCTAATTATATTATAAATGGAGAAACACATGCGTGTTTTATTTCAGGTCGAAGCAGATGTCCTGCCCCGGTACTACTTCAGAGATGACGCCATGCTTGTCTATGAAGCTATTAAAACGTACGTCGAGAAGTATGTCGCGGTCTACTATACTGGTAAGTGTTGTAATCAGACGCATCTTTATCCAAAGTTCTAAATCATGTGTCAAAGGACCATCTGCCTTAGGCTACCGTCTTAAGAATATTTATTTTGTGAAACAACTAGCGTTTATCACATAGCTATACAATTATCAGTATCATAAAACCCAGTACATACATTGTGTTATGAACAGATCACATGTTCAATAGCACCATGTAGATCTGTGATTGGCTGTAGATTCCCATTGTTTCAATTATAACGTAAAAACATGAAACTCTTTGTGATTTCATATTCTAGCTATTTTAGAGGCTTGCTAAAATTGGAAATTCTTAAATTTGACATATCGTATTTAAATAGCAGTTAAAAATGCCGACAAGATTATTGCATGACCCTTAAAGAACAGATCCATTATTATTTATTATTTGTAAATGCTATGATTATTGTAATACTTGTTTGGCATATATAGGATATCGTGTAAATAATAGAACCAATTGTGATTACTGCAAAAATATCTCCTTAATGTGATTAAATTGAGTTATTCGAAAATATTGAAGTGTAATAATACTACAGTTGAGGTTACGTAAGTACCAATATTTGCCACGTCACGTCAATAATTATACAGCGTCATACAACGGGTCAATTTTAGCAAAATGACCACGTAAAAATCAGATCTCATAAAGTCAATTTAGTCATGTGTGTGTTAAATAAAAGCAACCCAATTTTGATATGGCAGCGTCCTAAACTGAAAATTATGAGTAAGTTTTGAACTAAGAGAAAATATCCATCATTACCAAAATGACAGTATTTCACCTGGGCTGAGCGCGAAATGCACTAGTTTAATCCGAGGTGACCTTGATTTTATGACTTTGATGACAAATAATATCGTCATTTCATCTGTTTGTTATTATCCATTTCTTGACTGTTTCACTTACATAGTATGATATACTCTCAGGGTTGTATTAAACATTGTATTGAACACACACCAAATATTAAGTATACAATGTATCACGTCAATGACCATGCTAATGTATACAGATTACAGTTTTGTTGACTGCGTGTATTCAGATAAAAAGGGTCGTCTTGGGAAAAGTCGTCCGAGGAATGGTGACGGTGTCGTCAGAGGAATGGTGTCAGTGTCGTCAGAGGAATGGTGTCGGTGTCGTCAGAGGAATGGTGTCGGGGTTTTATCAGAGGAATGGTGACGGTATCGTCAGATGAATGGTGTCGGTGTCGTCAGAGGAATGGTGTCGGGGTTTTATCAGAGGAATGGTGACAGTGTCGTCAGATGAATGGTGTCGGTGTCGTCAGAGGAATGGTGTCGGGGTTTTATCAGAGGAATGGTGACAGTGTCGTCAGATGAATGGTGTCGGTGTCGTCAGAGGAATGGTGTCGGGGTTTTATCAGAGGAATGGTGACAGTGTCGTCAGATGAATGGTGTCGGTGTCGTCAGAGGAATGGTGTCGATGTCGTCAAAGGAATGGTGTCGGTGTCGTCAAAGGAATGGTGTCGGTGTCGTCAAAGGTGTCGGTGTCGTCAATGGAATGGCGACGGTGTCGTCAGAGGAATGGTGTCAGTGTCGTCAAAGGAATGGCGACGGTGTTGTCAGAGGAATGGTGTCGGTGTCGTCAAAGGAATGGTGTCGGTGTCGTCAGAGGAATGGTGTCGGTGTCGTCAGAGGAATGGTGTCGGGGTTTTATCAGAGGAATGGTGACGGTATCGTCAGATGAATGGTGTCGGTGTCGTCAGAGGAATGGTGTCGGGGTTTTATCAGAGGAATGGTGACAGTGTCGTCAGATGAATGGTGTCGGTGTCGTCAGAGGAATGGTGTCGATGTCGTCAAAGGAATGGTGTCGGTGTCGTCAAAGGAATGGTGTCGGTGTCGTCAAAGGTGTCGGTGTCGTCAATGGAATGGCGACGGTGTCGTCAGAGGAATGGTGTCAGTGTCGTCAAAGGAATGGCGACGGTGTTGTCAGAGGAATGGTGTCGGTGTCGTCAAAGGAATGGTGTCGGTGTCGTCAGAGGAATGGTGTCGGTGTCGTCAAAAGGATGGTGTCACAAGAGGACGCCAACAGAAGAAAGGGTTTCGTCAAGGGAGGGTGCGTCCTCAGGGGAAGGAGCGGTGTCAAAGGATGGCGCGTCGTCAGGGAAGAGCTGTCACATGGAAGGGTCATCTGATGAAAGGTGTCGCCGGGGAAAATGTGTCATCAGGGGAAGTCGTCAGAAAAAAAGGTGTATTCCGAGGAAGAGTTTCGTCGGAGAAAATCTTTATTAAAAGGAGTACATATATAACATGACATTTGATATCGGTTTGTACTACTGACATGATAGGTTGAATTACGTTACCATCTAAAGAAGTGAAATAAAAAACTAAGGCGTTATAAATGATTAAGTTTTTAAAATGAGCTGGTTATTTGATTTTAGACAAACCAACACCAGATTCGACACTGAGTGCAGTGTACAACGACTCTGAAATACAGGCATGGATAAAGGCACTGGTTGCACCAATCCAACCAACCAATGGAGGCTGTGGATTAAAAGTATGTATCTAAAAACAAAGAATGAATGGCAGACATTCAAATGACCTATGCATGGTGTAACGTTTTCCACAAACCTCCAATATCTCTTTATAGATTTTTTTAAAATTAGGATTTTGGTATTGTTGATTAGGTATAACCCTTTCTTAAAACTAAAGAAAAAGCTATGAGTGTAAATAGTTTGATTTTGATACGCAGTATCTTGGGACTCGGGTTTTGAATCAGACAAAAACAATTGCCAGCCAGACAAATCTTAAACAGTTTTCACGTATGTGCTGCACAAAATGCTTAAATTACCAAGCTGTTTTCACTGTCTAGGTTTAGTTGTCTTTGATTGTGTGTTAATCTATTAGCCAGGGTGGCATATGACCAGTAGTTAGCGCCTGATAAGGCACCCCCCTCCCCGCTCAAAAAGGTATTGGTTAATGTATTGATTGTATAAATTGTATATCTATGTACTGTAAAGCGCTTTAGAGTGCTTATTCTAGCTAGATAGGGCGCTATATCAAATGTTGTATATTATCATCATTATTATGTTTGTTTTGTATATTCTTGGTTCCAGTTGCTGTTTGTTCCTGTAATTTTTGAGTTCTATTATTGTCCTATTATTCAGTTTTCATTTTTTTTTCACGCCAGGGTGTTCCGCTTGACAAATCAGGAGACTCGATATCAACCACCGCCCAGTTGACACAGATCCTGACGAGCATTATCTTCACTTGTAGCGTCGGACATGCAGTCGTTAACTTCCCACAATACGAACAATATGGGTTCCAACCTGCCGCCCCCTTGTCAATGTCAGGAACACCGCCTACGAATAAGGTACCCTACCATGAATAATTAAATATGTATAGGGATTGATATAAGGGTAACTAGGGGTGAGCACCTATCAGCATTATCATTATAAAATTAAAAGTTACTGGGTTGATCATTAGTAAGTTTGCCTGTCTGAACGGGACTTTTAAGTATACTCACATTCTTATGATACATGCATTATTTTTATCATCTCGAACAACGGTAAATCACCCAAAAATAATTACACAGAAACACAATGCTTTCAAAGAAATAGAAAAAGAGTTTGTTCCAATGACAATTTTGCATTGCAAGGGAGGTAATTTCGCTCCGTTTCTAGATTTTTATAATGGACCTGCTGAATCTTACTATTGTGTTGAGCCAATGTGTTTTCCTGTCATGAAATATCAGGTTTGTTATCGTGCAACGTGCAAGTACATCACGTGAATGTCGTATTACCATTGTAGCCTTTAACTCCTTTTTAGCTAATTGATTATTATCTACTGATGAAAGTAATGGAGTGAAACCAGAATGGATCCAAAGTGTCGGAATATCATTTTACGCTTCTGTAACGTGGTGTCAATATTCCATAATAGTTGTCTTTTGTCTCTCAGTGTTAATGGTATTTCATGAAATTGAACATTCATACGCAAAAGATTATGAGCGATGTTCTTCTTAAATATAATATGTTTGTAGAATATGTGTAGGAAAAAAATAAGTATATATCAATACAACACATGTCAAATCATGTCACGTATTTATTGTGCGGATATGCAAAACCACTCGTTTGTCACACACATGCGCAACCACTCGTCTGTTACCCCATGTTTGGATGTACTCATATAATAGCGTCGGACATTCAGATCTAAAATTCCAAAAACGTCGCTTACGTCAGATAAAAATTGTTTTGTATCGCTTATGTAAACACGCTTATACATTATTCTTTTGTTGTTTTTACACACACACAGACAGCTCTGACTGAGGAAGACATTATGAAGGCAATTCCTTCCAAAGAACGCACGCTGACGGAAATGCTTCTCATGAAGCTTCTAAGTACCAGAAACACCAATCTCCTTGGAAACTTCGAGCACATATACATAGTAGATCCACCAGCTGTCGCCGTGGTCAATATGTAAGTATTCAACATAATGTAAACTGGGTACATGATAAGGAGAGATTAACGTGTAACAAATATATTTAAAAAAAATAATGAGTAACATTATAGTATTAACATGAATTACACATAAGTATCAAGTATCCGTCTGTGGTATATTATATATGACATCAGCTATACATCCTTTTGCAATTTTGTCTAAAATTATTCATATCTTATAGAACCTTAGCGATAACCGAATTACTGATATCTTAATATATTACGACAATGTCTTAGATTAAAAGAAAAACTATATTAATGATCTTTAAACGTTTACTTTTTAATGTAACTGATATAACCAATAGAAAATATAACAACAAAATGCCACATGAGATATTTGGTTTTGTTGACTTTGAAGTGTGTTGATGTTGTTGTGTGTTTTGTTTTTATTTGTTGACGTTTTTATTTGTGACGGACTGCCATTACCGTATGTTTTGTACTTATGACATGTATTGAATTTGTGTATTGACGCTATAGTGTGTATTGTATTTTGTGTATTGACGCTATGATGTGTATTGTATTTTGTGTATTTACGCAATGGTGTGTATTGCAATTATGTATTTCCAACATGTTCTGTATTGTATAATGTGTAGTGATGCTATGGTGTGTATTGTATTTTGTGTAATGACGCTATGGTGTGTATTGTATTTTGTGTATTGACGCTATAATTGTATTGTATTTTGTGTCTTGACGATATGGTGTGTATTGTATTTTGTGTAATGACACTATGGTGTGTATTATGTTTTGTGTATTGGCCCTCTTTTGTGTAATTTATCTTGTGTATTTGCGCTATGATTGTATTGTATTTTGTGTATTGACGCTATGGTGTGTATTATATCTTGTGTATTGACGCTATGGTGTGTATTGCAATTTGTGTATTGATGCTATGGTGTGTATTGTTTTCGTGTAATGACACTATGGTGTGTACTATGTTTTGTGTATTGGCCCTATGTTGTGTATTATATCTTGTGTATTGACGCTATGGTGTGTTTTGTATTTAGTGTATTGACGATATGGTGTGTATTATCTCCTGTGTATTGGCGAATTTATGGAATGCATTATTTTTGTGATGTTTTATACTTTTGGTTTGGTCATGGATTTGTTGTATTGTGTTGATGTTATGGGTATGCGTGGCACTTGCTTGCTGATGCTGTGTTTTTACAACTTTACCCCGCCTTTACGAAGTGTAGACGGGTTATACTGGAATCGGGTTGTTTTCCGTCCATCCGTCCTTCTATCTGTCTGTAGACACAATTTTGGTAAATGTGGTAGGCATATACAAGTACATCTTGCGATGGCAGACTGTCAAGTGTAAAACATAGGTCACTGAGAATGCTGGAATGTCAAATACACCAGTTGATCGATCATTGTGATCTATGCTTCACCATTGACATTATCCTTTGTAAATTTTTCACATGGAGTAGCGATATTAGGTATGGAAGTATGTCCTTGCTGGCGGAGTACTGAGTACAAGAAGTTTGTCACTGTGGCCTGGGTTTAGAGATAGGTGTACGGCTCGGTGAATAAAGAAAGCATGCATTGTCATAAGGATTATGGACTGACTTTCAATACTTTGCTTTGTTCATTTAAAACTGTTCGCAGAAGAACTATTCCCACAGTACCATTCCGATTATTCTACCATGACAAGCAATATCCAGATTCAGATTAGTTAAGCATTACAGAAAATAGAGAAAAAATATTTATTTATTTATTTTAATAAGTTAAATAAGAATATACGTTAAATAGAAATAAAAACCACTAGACTGTCTGGTAATAGTTTCCAGTTTTACTAGTCAATGTGGGAAATCCTAGTCTTGTATTATTCAATATGATGAGTAAAAGTCAATCGGGCTTGCAGTTTTTACGTTAATGTCTCATTACAGAGACTGTTGTTTTTGTTATTAGAGTAGCTAAAGAATAAAACAAATATAATAGATAAACATACAGGGTTAATTCATATTACCTATGGGTAAAATGACATGAAATAATATTCACACTATACATATGAATTAAGATCAAAATGTATATAACGAAATGCTCTCTTATAGAAAGTTATTGATATATTACTGTCGGTTTAATTTCAGGTTTCGAGATGATCTGAAAAAAATTGCCGCTACCATCGAAAACAGAAACAAAGAAAGATCAACTCCGTACCATTGGGCAAGTCCAAAATATATCCCAAATGCTATCAGCATCTAGATGAGAGATTCTGAAGACATCTATACTTGTGGAATTGCAGAAAGACAGTTATATATCATATACGATTTGATCAGACACAATGCTTTAAGCAACTATTGTTCAATTATACTCTCTTTATTATAGGTTACCACAGTGCATGCTATTATCTGTGTACTCTTTTTACTGTCTATTGATCTTTGTGACCGGATTTGTATATATATATATCTGTTATCGACTCGCTATTGGGAGGATTGTGCCTACATATGCGAAATTGGTTGGCTATGGGTCCGGCTGGGTGTGCCATATCTTTAGGAATCTCCATGGGACCGATTGCATCTGTATATATGTCATTGATTGGCTATGGGTCTGCCTGTGTATGTATTTGTGCTACCGACTGACTGTGGATCAGGTTGTGTACCAACACTCGACATTGACTAGATATGGGACCGGTTTCGTTTGTACGTGCAGCCTTAATTCGCTATGGGACCAGTTGTGTATGCATATATATATATATACGTTATTGACATTCTATGACACCTTTAAACATTGTGTATACAGTACCTTCGTTTTCGCTACGGGACCATTTGTTGTATATGTATATACCTCCTCAACACGCTACCGGGCCGGTTTGTACCTTTACGCTATGAGACCATTTGTTGTGTATGTTTATACTTCAATGACACGCTATGGGGCCCCGTTTTGTTTGTATATACAGTACCATTTCGCTATGTGACTAGTTGTGCATGTTTACGCGACAGTCTCTCGCTATGGGACAGGTATTATGTGTATATACTCGGACTGAATTTGAAGTCACGCTATAACCTGTCTAAGCGACCTCATATTTGGTATTCATATCATTACAAGATTCTATTAGGACGAGAACTTCTGCAAAAAGTGAAGTTTATTTATAAACAATGCGAATGACGGAATGTTATTATTTAGGGAAATGTTTTTTTTCCATCTGATTTTAATTTACAAATATATATTCATATACATGTTTCATTCCATCATAGTAAGCATATACTCAATATATTGAATGGCGATATGTAGGGCATATATAAAGATAACCGTAACTATTATGGGGGGAACAGAAAGGAAAATATCCACTATACTATGAAATATTTGAATGGTTTTCATATATAAAAGAATAAAGATAAGAGAATAACAAGAGAACGCAATGATTTATGGTAAAATATGGAAAAGAGAAAGACAAAGAGGAAAAGACATAGGACAGATCTGTCAGTGTATCATACAGGGTAGTTGACCAGAAAACATGGGTTTTGTTTTTAAGTAAATACTTTGATTAACTTTGAATCCATCAACTATAGAACTGGTTTCAGACAATTTGGCCGTGTGTTCGACTTTTTGATATTGTTAGAGAACTAAGTACTATTTCAAAACTTGTCAGAACATTGTCTTCCTTTAGTACTCCATTTGAAAAAGTTACATTTAGAATAAGTCATATCTTATTTGTGTTACGGTTCGTTGTTCAGATCAAGTGATTGATTTTAAATTGTATCCATTATAGTTTTCATGTACTCGAAACAGAACGCTGTATCTTTAATAACAGCTATTCAAAAACGCGTTCCTGTTGTCCAGTTACATTTCTTATATGTACAGAAATTCTGGGATTCCTTTTCCCCTCTCAAGAATACATTTAGATTCGAAGGAATAATTTGCAAGATCAAAGTTGTATTTTACGAGTATAAAGAACCATAGGTTTTGCTTGATATTTGGAACTACCCTATGATAGTGCATATTGTTTGCTATTGTACTAAATATATAATAAAAATACTTGAAATTTAAAAAGAAATTCTTATATTTTCTTTATTAGAAAAAATGCTTTTACTTTCATTTGAAATGTTTTTGTTGGGTGGCTAGGTATTGAAGCATTATCATCATCATCTCTGAGCGACATAGCTTATACTAAATTTGGTACATATCTACTCAGAAAATGTATTTACAATTAGTTTTGATTATACAGACATATTCATCCATGCAGTTAGATAAATCTGAATATATACCTGTCTTTTTAATATTAGAAGAGATAACAGCCACATGCGAACGCACACACCATTCGCAATCCTTATTCATCCAAGTTTTCAGATAACAAGTTTGAAAAAATATTGTTTCATACTCTAGACCGGTAAAATGTTTATTAAACCGTTTTGTGGAAAGTCGCTTTCCCTGGAATGAACTGGTCGATGCAATCTCTAAATTAAAACTTACAATGTATCTCATTTTTTCTCTCCGCCGTAAGACAGAGATATCATTGCCAGGCAGGGAAAGATATGTCTTACGAAGGAACACAATGATATATGGGATAATGGGGAAAAGAGAAAGATAAGGAGGAAAAAACATAGGACAGATTTTTTTAGGTTAATATTTTACTCAACTTTGAGTCCATCAACTACAGAACTGGGCCCGTATTCATGAAACCTTTCTCATGCTTAAGCATGGACTTTGTGCTCAAGCCTAATTTCATGTTCTGTTTATAAATTAATAATAAAATCTTATTTTTTCAATTATTTGGAGATTTTTTTTAAGGAGATTTCAAGCCAAATACTGTTTTTAATGTTTACATTTGACTTTTTGATTGTTTGACATGATTTAAGTGAGTTACAAAAAAGTTGGTATAAGTACAAAATCAATTCATGGGCAAGAGAAACGTTTCATGAATTTGGGCCCTGGTTTTATGTAATTTCACTGTACGTTCAAGGACGGTTCACCTCGTAAAGACGGGGGGAATTCCCTTTTATAACAATTTATGACGTCACGCTAACATAAGCAGATCACGACAAATAAGTATCACTGGGTTTGCTGGAAAATCATTACTCCCTTAGGGAATAAGACAAATCTCCACCTCGGGGTAAGATTCCTAAAACTAAAACATTCTACACAGTTAGTCAGTTGACAAATGAGGCCAGTCCCACGACTCAAGTATTTACCTTGCGGGGGAGGTTTTTAGAAGAGCGTTAGTCTGTTGGAAAATAATACAGGCACGCGCATGGTCTATCTGTCAATAATCCATAGTTATTAACCAATGGAAAGTGTCGCTACATCGCCCACTGGTAGAATAACTTATACTTAATTGACTGGCAAATGTAAGGGAGATTGAGTGAGGAGGATTGAGGTCAAATAGGTATACCCCTACCGTACAAAAATGTTTTTTTCAGCAATACGTTTTGATTTTTTCAAATGGAAAAATACATGTTTATTGACAGCAGTGGTATAGAATGACATCGTTAGTCCATACTGTTAATCATTCTTACAGAAAACATCACGTTTGATATTGACGTTTTAGGAGACGGTTTTTAAGTATTGAGTTGATAATTTTTTTACATTTCGAACGGGAGAGTGTTGCAAGAAATGTTGACTGTTCCTGATAAGCTAATTTATATCTTCAATCCGTGCAACTTAGTAATTTAAAGATAGAAAATAAGCTTAAGTGTTGTAATCAAAGTCCGATTTTTTCCTTTGAAACGAAATCGTAAATTCATGAATTTAAAAAAACACATCTATCGGCTAGCTCTGACACCTGCACAAAATCGTTAATCTTTGTGGTCTTGGCGGAATATCAACAAGGTTCAGTTGTATAAATTAAAGCTTGCTTCCAATATGAATTAATTCGAATAAAAAGGCTACATTCCTAAACGAGAACTTTTCACTCAGACGCCTTAATGTAAATGGGAAATTAGTCATGTGCTCCAAACAGCCGTCCAACACCTACATAAAGTTCCCGAGAGTTCAAAGACTTCTTCATCAGTCTGGCGAACGAAGTACACTGGAGACTTGGTGATTTTATTGTGTTTTTTTTCTTCTTATTTTTTTCTTCTTCCGCCAAATGGCTTCCGAATGTTTTTGTTCCAAAAACTAATGGCTGGATATTTATAAAATTACACATGTTCTTTGATGGACATGCGTAGATGTGCAGAACGCTCAATTTTCGATCGGTCATCAAACGTGATATATTTAAAAAAAAAAAAATGAAAATTTTGCTCCAAGTTAGTATGAAAGTGTATAATAGCATTGTAAATTCTTCCCAGTTCATCATTTGCGACTACGTGTACAGTGGCAGTTTGGGGGACCTCTGTAACATTCCGCGATACAATTTTATGTGAACATCACACCCCAATATACAAGATACACAGTTTTATATATTATGTAGTTACTTTATTCGGCATGAAGAAATCATTTCTATTTACATCTCAGAAATTTACAAAAAATACATTAATCTTGATAATGGTGGTATAACATGCTTGTTTTACAAAAAATAGTAAAGTTCAGGTTGTAATTACGTTACACTCTTCTATCATTTGAGTATCGAACGTAGCGTGCTATACTGCATAAGTTATATATACATTGCATGCCATATCAACAGAATTCAATACCTATATTTCCCATTGTAAGATTATTTTAACATCACAGAATATAAAAGCTGATCAATACACTTCAACATACAGTTCAAATTAGTGTATGCTTGTTCTAAGAATGGAACAAACATCTTTTTCGAAGGGTTAGTGGTACTATTATGACGTCAGCACATGCTATCAGATTAACCACATATCTTTAACAATCTGCGGAATAAATACCGTGATGTCATGATGTCAGTGCATTAAGACAACGAACTAATTTTACATATTGTAAGTCAGACTATCTACAAAACTATGACATCCTCAAAAATGCATACCTTGATATCAGTATAACAACATGAATCTACAATTCCATAGTACATATGTCAAATTAACCACACGTCTCTAAATACCTCCAGAATGATAATTTTAATGTTAATACCTTAAGACATCAATCTTATATTCCATAGTATACGTTTTATTGGTGTCGGATTAACATCCTTCAGAATACATTCATTGATGTCAGTATTATCAAACTTATATTCCATATTATTAATTAACTATGTAGATATTGCTGCAATATGTAATAAACGGCCCGTGCAATATAATGAACAATCTCAGCCAATATCGGAATTGTTACACAAAGTCGGCCAATATTGAAAAAAGTCGGCCTTTATGGAAAATATTGGCCGACTTTTGACAAACTCGGCCAATACGAGAAAACGCGCGTAATCGAACGCGCCCGATAAACCGTTCGGAACTTACCGGAAGGTAACGTCTTATCCTACGGCAAAACCCGATATGTTCCTGGCGCAGACGACAACATACATAAAGAGAAGGAAGATCTTCCATGATCAGTTTGTGCACCAATCTGAATCGTCGCAATAAGAACAACGATGAAAATGTGACAAATGTCCAATTTAAATATGTTATTGTTTAACAAACATTAAACAAAAGTTATTTTCTGATTAAACTAGTAAGTATCTACATAGTTATTTAATAAAAGGGTCAATAATTAGTTAATTCCATATTGGCCCAGTTATTAGGCCTCGGTCAGGCATATTGGCCCTTGGCCTGCGGCCTCGGGCCAATATGACAGACCTCGGCCTAATAACTGGGCCAATATGGAATTAGCTAACTATTAACCCTATAGTAAAGATTGTATTGATGTCAGATTATCTACAAGGTTGTGACTCTACTAGAATATTCCATAGTGCATGTGAATTCATGTAAAATTTAAACCACACCTCTCTAACTATCTCCAGATTGATTACATTAATGTTATTACTCTAAGACATCAATCTTATATTCCATAATATAAGTTCACTAATGCCAATTTAACAAAATCCTGATAACTACCTACGGAATGAACAACTTAATATCAGTACCTTATGACATCAAACTAAAATTACATAGTATACGTTTATTGATATAAGATATCTGCAAAACTGTTGCATCCTTCAGAAAACATTCAATGATGTCAAATATCTATAAAACTGTGACATCTTTCAGAAAACATTCATTGATGTCAGATACCTATAAAACTGTGACATCCTTCAGAAAACATTCATTAATGGCAGATATCTACAAAACTGTGACATCCTCCAGAATACATACACTGATATCAAATATCTACAAAACTGTAACATCCTCTAGAATACATTCATTGATGTCAGGTATCTGCAAAACTGTAACATCCTCTAGAATACATACACTGATGTCAAATATCTACAAAACAGTGACATACTCAAGAATACATTCACTGATGTCAAATATCTACAAAACTGTGACATCGACCAGAATACATATACACTGATGTCAAATATCTACAAAAATGTGACATCCTTTAAAATACATCCATAGATGTCAGATATCTATAAAACAGTGACATCCTCTAGAATACATTCATTGATGTCAAATATCTACAAAACTGTGACATCCTCCAGAATACATACACTAATATCAAATATCTACAAAACTGTGACATTCTCCAGAATACATTCATTGATGTCAAATATCTACAAAACTGTGACATCCTCCAGAATACATACACTGGTGTCAAATATCTATAAAACTGTGACATTCTCCAGAATACATTCACTGATGTCAAATATCTACAAAACTTCGACATCCTTCAAAATACATTCATTGATGTCAGATATCTACAAAACTGTAACATCCTCGTGAATACATACACTGATGTCAAATAACTACAAAACAGTGACATCCTCCAGAATACATTCACTGATGTCAAATATTTACAAAACTGTGACATCGACCAGAATACATACACTGATGTCAAATATCTACAAAAATGTGACATCCTTTAAAATACATTCATTGATGTCAGATATCTATAAAACAGTGACATTCTCTAGAATACATTCATTGATGTCAAATATCTACAAAACTGTGACATCCT